TCACAGAATAAGAATATACCAGAAAAACTTTTTTTCATTCGGTCATTCCCTTAAAAAACGAGTTTAAAGTCTCAAAAAACCGTATTTTTAGCACTTTTTGAGGCAGCGTAACAAGAAAATGCAACATGATAAAAATCTCTACAAAAGCTTAAATAAAAGCTTAAACCTTCAACTTTAAGGCTCAGAACTGAAAAGTACTTAAAGAAGCACTGAAAACCTGCAGTCACTATCTGAAATTATCAAAAAAGCTGGGTTAGGTAGCACTTGGTAAAAATCGATTTCCCTAACCGGATTCGGTTGCAAATTGTTATTTTAGGTTTTTTGAGGTTTCTAATGACGAATTGGAACTTAGATTTAAAAAATTTCAAAGTGGCGGACTCAATTTTTTAAAATTATCAACGCAAATTTTGAAAAATTGAGTGAATTCATTATTTTCAGTCCGCCATTTTGAAATTTTTTAAATCTAAGTTCCAATTCGTCATTAGAAACCTCAAAAAACTTCAAGTAACAAGTTGCAACCGAATCCGCTTAAGGAAATCGATTTTTACCAATTGCTTCCTGTTCTAGCTTTTTTGACAATTTCAGGTAGCGACTGCTTGATTAAGGAGGTTTTTATTGATTATTTAAGTACTTTTCAGTTCTGAGCCTCAAAGTTGAAGGTTTAAGCTTTTATTTAAGCTCTTGTAGAGATTTTTATCATGTTGCGTTTTCTTGTTACGCTGCCTCAAAAAGTGCTAAAAATACGGTTTTTGACACTTTAAACTCGTTTTTTTAAGGGAATGACCGAATGAAAAAATGTTTTACTGGTATATTCTTATTCAGTGACACCTAAACTTTCAATAATCACAGGAAACTTTGAATAAACACGATATGACCATTTTTTTGTAACCCAGTGTGATTTAAAAAGATATTTTTGAAAAGGTATGAACTCAAAGTACCGAAAAATATATGTAAGGAGATCACGACTTGCATTAAGAAGTTGGAAATCATTCAAAAAGAGTTGAACGAATTCCAAACGATTCCGCGAAATTTTAACGGATTTCACACAAGCCACCGCAATTGAAAGACGGGTAAGGAATGCGCCTTCCCATCTTCATGACAATAAGACATTTAATTACTAATAAATTCAGATGACTATTGTCCCACTTTTCAAGTGAAAATTCTTCGGGGTGAATTTAAAATTTCTTTTTTAATGCTTATTGTTATGTCATTCATTAATAAAAGATGTAATGGTTGTATAGAAGAGAGTTTTATTAGGATTTAATTGGGTTTTTTTTTTAGTAAAAGAAGTTGATTTCGGTCAGACGGAAAAGTATATATATTTTTTGAATTATTTTAGTTGAAAATTAAGTAGTAAAGGTCGGTTAATGTCAGACTATATTTTTTCGAATTTTCTGTAGTAATTAGTAGTAGAAAAAGATTTTCGTCAGACAGTTTTGAGAAATTTTGATAATTTTTGAATCAGTAGTGAAAAACATTTTTCGTCAGCCAAACACGTTTTCTAATTTTTATATTTTTTTCTAATAGTGCGACAAAGTGAGTCTTTTACCAAAGTGCGACTTTTTACAAATTTTTGTAATTTTTTGTTCAGTAATAAAAATCTTTTATTTACGAATTAATATCAGTAGTAAAAGAAAATTTCTGTCAGACTAGAAAGTCTACTTCTTCTTTTGGTTAATTTTGATTTAGTGGTCAAAGACGATTTTCGTCAGACTGATTTCTTTTAACTTCAGTAATGTTGGTATCAGTAGTAAAAGGCGTTTTCAGTCAGCCGGGACTAATTTTAACATCAGTGGTAAAATGCGCCTGTTGTCAGACAAGATTTTTTCAAATTTTACTAATTTTATCAACAATAGTAAAAAAACTTTATTTTAAAACCTTTTTTTATGAACGAATATTAGTAGTAAAATACATTTCCTGTCAGATTGTGACTTTTTTACTTCCTGCAATATTGTCATCAGTCATAAGACATTTTCTGACAGACTGATTTTACAATTTTTAAATTTTTCTTTCTCTAGTAGTAAAGCTGTTTCTAGCAGACATTCGTTTTTGCAATTCTTCTGATTTTTCTAAAACTCTGAGTAATTTTCATGGAAGTAGAAAAACTGATTTTAAGTCAAACGAAATTGAATTTAGATTTTAGTAGTAAAGATCAATTCCAGTCAGACAGAATATTTCCATTTTCTCTTTTTTCGGTACTACTTAGTAGTAACAATCTCGTTTTGTCAAAGTTATTTACATTCTTTTAACAATTTTTCTAGTTTAATCTTATTTTACGAAATTGAATTTAGTTTTCATTAGTAAAAGTCAATTCGAGTCAGACATAATTCTTCTTCGAAATTAAATTATTTTTAAGGTAAATAAAAACGAATTAGAAAATTAAATTATTTTTACAAATTTTAATAAAATTCTTGGATAAAATTTCAATTATGTTCAAAAATTTTCCTCAATTCAATGATTTTTAATATTTGCTATTTTAATCAAATTTTTCAAAAGAATTAATTATTTAAAATTTTTTTTAATAAAATTCACCGCAAACATTTGATTATTTCCATAAAATAATAAAAATTTCACAGGAGTTCAATTATTTACAAATTTTTTTTAATAGATTTCTTCCAAATAATTCAATTCTTTTTATAAATAATAAAATTTTTACAGGGATTCAATTATTTTCGTAAATAAAATTCTTTTTAGAAATTCAATTATTTTTATAAATAATAAAACTCAATGCTGAATTTTAATTTTAATACAATTTTAATGGAATTCATTTAAAAATGCAATTATTCCTAAAACTTTTATTAAAATTCGTCGAAATAATTCAATTATTTAAAAATTTGTTGATAAAATTCTTTATGAGAATTTAATTATACAATATTTTTTTTTATTTAAATAATTGAATTTGAAATAAATTTCAGTTTAAATTTTAGATGAAAATTGAATATTAAAAGCTTTATAGTGTAAATTTTTAGAAATAATTGAATTTTGAAAAGGTTTCATATTGAAATCTTTGAAAATTTTAATTTCTCATACTTTTATAACTAACAATTCTGTTGAAGAATGAATTTTTTTTGAAAAAGTTTGTTTCAATTCTACTTCAAATTATTTTTTTGAAATTTTTATTTTCTAATATATATTTAATTTTGAAGAATTTCCCAATAATTGAAAGTAAAATTGAAAAATAAATTTGAAAATTCTCAATGAACTTTTTCAAAAATTTTTTAAAATAATGGATTTATGGAAAAATTTTAGTTAAAAACACTAAAAAAATTAATTTTGAAGAAATTACAAATTATTGCAGAAATTCAATTATATTTTTGTATTTAAATAAATAAATTCTAGTAGAATTTTCTAATAAAAATTGATTTAAAAATAAATTAATTAAAATGTTAGATAAAATAATTAAATATTAAAAGCAATATAGAGTGAATTTTTAGAAATAATTGAATTTTGAAATTAATTTTTCTGAAAAAGTTTAATTGAATTTTTTTTCTATATTATTTAAATGTTTCATTTTCTAATATACATTTAATTGGAGAAATTACGAATAATTGAAATTTCATAAAATTGAATATTGCAAACAAATGAATTTGAAAATTGTCAAAGAACTTTTTCGAAAATTATTAAAAATAATTGATTTAGAAGAATTTTAGTTACAAATTTGTTGAAATAATAATTGAATTTAAATGATAAAAATAATTTTGAAGGAGTTACAGTAATTTTTTATTTTTGGTCCGTAAAGTCCGTATTTTTAAATACTTTCACTGGTTCGAGCCCTGATATCTCCATATTTTTCTTTTTTTTGGTACTAGTAGTAAAAATCTAGTTTAGTCAGACATATTTTCTTCCCTTCAGCATTTTTTCTAGTCTACTCCTTTCTTATCTAGTAATTTTTTTGCTGTTAGTAGTAAAACACGTTTTCAGTCAGACGTAGTTTAAAATCTTCTTTAAATATTATTTCATCATTCGTCAAATGCTTTTATCAGACTAATTTTTTTTTTAATTTAGTAGTTTTGTTGACAGTAGTAAAAAAAACTTTTATTGTAAAAATGATTTATTAACTTAAAATCAGTAGTAGAAGACCTTTTCTGTCAGACAGACACTTGTGTCACACAGACTCGAAGCTATTGTCAATTTATTAAAAATACTCCTTTTCATTTTATATTAATTTTTAATTTTTGTTCTTTTTTTTGATTTTTTAAAAAAAATTTATATTAATTTTTTTATTAAAAAATATTATTTATTTTTGATTTATAATGTTTTAACGTCCGTATTTTTAATTTGTTGATTGAGAAAATTTTACAAGGCTTTTTGATTTATTATTTTTCTATTATTTATTTTTATTATTTATTATTACTATCTTTTTAAATCACTTAAAATTTATACCCACTTTTTTTTAATTTACAAAATCGACGAGAGAAAATATTTTCTATTTTGAAAAGCAAAAAAAAAAATCACGTAAATAATTTAAAAATTACAAAAAATTAGAGTCTATAAACTTATAAATTTTATCCGCCGAGAGAGAGAGAGAGAGAGATTTAAAATTACACGTCACATCGATACGGTAAGCGCGAATGATACATGCCTGAAGCTCTGAAGGAAAAATTGGCCCACGATACCCTTTTCTTTTTTTTTTTTATATGCGCTACCAAGTAATCCGATCTCATTTTAGATATCCGAGTCGTCGGCTGATTGGCTGCTCGGTCGAGCGTACAAACCTTACGAGCACATACGATCCAGCAATGCTTCCGTTTTCCCTTTTCCCTTGACGTCCCTTTTTCCCCCTCATCGGCTTTCTCTGTTGAAAAGTGAGGAAGGAAAAGGGGGGATGGAAGGGGGGGGGGGACCGTTTCGTCCGGTAGGCGCCCCGCCCGTTTTATGTCGCGCCCAGAGCGCGCAAAATTCGATCGAGCAATATTTTCCCTATGCCTGATGCTTAAATCACTTTTGTTTCGTGATGCCTGCGTTTTATCGTCATTCACTTTCTCACGTGACTGTTCCAGGAAGCGGAGAGCGCTATTGGTGCAATGAATGGCCAGTGGTTGGGGAGTAGAAGCATCCGAACGAATTGGGCCACACGTAAACCACCGGCACTTAAATCGGAAGGTGAGTCTTTATACTTTTTTTCCTTTTGTTAGTGTTTCTTCTTCCGCATTTTTTTTACTATCGAACACTTTCTATTTTATTCAATTTTATTGTTGTTGATAATTTTCTTATCCGAAAGTTATGCATCTTGACAGTATTTTTTTTTTTTTTTTGATAACTTTTTTGAACACTTTGAAATGTATCAAAAATTTTTAATCAATTTACGAGTTTTTCACATTAATTAAATTCAAATAACTGGAAAATAAAATAAATTCAAGAAAAAAATTCAGTAATAAAATTAAAAAAAATTTCTTTGAGAAATTTTAAGACATTCAATAACAGGGTTACCACAAATATTTAATTTGATTTTTCCCTGACTTTTCCCTGATTTCTAGACAAAATTTTCACTTTTTCCCTGACACTAAAAAATACTCCGCAAGAATTCAATTATTTTTACAAGTAGTAGAATTTCTCAAAAAATTCAATTATTTAAAAAAAAATGTAATAAAATTCGTTGCAAGAATTGAATTATTTTCATAAATATAATAAATCGATTATTCGGTAATTCATTTTTAAATCAATTTTTATTAGAAAATTCTAGAAGAATTTAATTATTTAATTAAAAAAATTAATAATTTATTAAATAATTGAATGTTTATTAAAATTGAATTCACATAAAGAATTTTATTAACAGATTTTTAAATAATTGAATTCTTTTGACAAATTTTAATCAAATTTTTAGGAATAATTAAATTTTTCGTGGAATTCGATTAAAATTGTATCAAAAATAATTAAAATCCTGCGATGAGTTTTATTACTTATGAAAATAATTAAAGTTTTGTTAAGAATTTTATTAAAATTCTAAAAAAAATTGAATTTCGAAGAAAAGTTTTATTATTTGTAAAGAATAATTGAAATTTTGCCAAGAATATTTTTTTAATTTTTGAGAAAAATTGAATTTTATTCAAGTTTATAAAAATAACTGAATTTCTCTGAAGAATTTTTTTATTTATATAAATATTTGAATTCTTGCATCGAATTTTATTCAAGTTTTAAAAAATAATTGAATTTTGGTGAAGAATTTTATTATTTATAAAAATAATTGAATTCCTGTGAAAAATTTATTACTTATGAAAATAATTGAATTATTTCAAAGAAAGTTATTAAAAAATTTGTTAATAATTGAATTCTTATGAAATTTTGCCAAGAATTTTATTAAAATTTAAAAAAAAATTCAATTTCGAAAAAGAATTTTATTATTTGTAAAGATAATTGAAATTTTGACCAGAATATTTTTTAAATTTTTAAACAAAATTTAATTTTATTCAAGTTTATAAAAATAACTGAATTTCTGTGAAGAATTTTATTATTTACATAAATATTTGAATTCTTGCATCGAATTTTATTCGGCAGGGCTTCAATTCCACCTTTTCCAATTAAACAAAGACTGACTGTACATTTCCTATTGTACAAAGTAAAATTCGCCAATAATAATTATTACCTATAGACCGATTATACAAAAAGTAACTGATTACAAGGTATTCAACTCTAAAGAAATTAAATATTCAACTGACCGACACTTCATGGATCGATTGTACAAAGACCGACTCTACACCTATATAATTTTTTAATATTTTAAATTTTCATGGACCAACTGTACAAAGACCGACTGTACAACAATATAATCTTTAGAAATTTTTAATCTTTTGAATCTTTATGGACCGACTGTACAAAGACCGACTCTACAACAATATAATTTTTCAAAATTTCGAATCTTCATGGACCGACTGTACAAAGACCGACTCTACAACAATATAATTTTTCAAAATTTCGAATCTTCATGGACCGACTGTACAAAGACCGACTATACAACAATATAATTTTTCAAAATTTCGAATCTTCATGGACCGACTGTACAAAGACCGACTCTACAACAATATAATTTTTCAAAATTTCGAATCTTCATGGACCGACTGTACAAAGACCGACTCTACAACAATATAATTTTTCAAAATTTCGAATCATCATGGACCGACTGTACAAAGACCGACTCTACAACAATATAGTTTTTCAAAATTTCGAATCTTCGTGGACCGACTGTACAAAGACCGACTCTACAACAATATAATTTTTCAAAATTTCGAATCTTCGTGGACCGACTGTACAAAGACCGACTCTACAACAATATAATTTTTCAAAATTTCAAATCTTCATGGACCGACTGTACAAAGACCGACTCTACAACAATATAATTTTTCAAAATTTCGAATCTTCATGGACCGACTGTACAAAGACCGACTCTACAACAATATAATTTTTCAAAATTTCGAATCATCATGGACCGACTGTACAAAGACCGACTCTACAACAATATAGTTTTTCAAAATTTCGAATCTTCGTGGACCGACTGTACAAAGACCGACTCTACAACAATATAATTTTTCAAAATTTCGAATCTTCGTGGACCGACTGTACAAAGACCGACTCTACAACAATATAATTTTTCAAAATTTCGAATCTTCATGGACCGACTGTACAAAGACCGACTCTACAACAATATAATTTTTCAAAATTTCGAATCTTCATGGACCGACTGTACAAAGACCGACTCTACAACAATATAATTTTTCAAAATTTCGAATCTTCGTGGACCGACTGTACAAAGACCGACTCTACAACAATATAATTTTTCAAAATTTCGAATCTTCATGGACCGACTGTACAAAGACCGACTATACAACAATATAATTTTTCAAAATTTCGAATCTTTGTGGACCGACTGTACAAAGACCGACTCTACAACAATATAATTTTTCAAAATTTCGAATCTTCATGGACCGACTGTACAAAGACCGACTCTACAACAATATAATTTTTCAAAATTTCGAATCTTCATGGACCGACTGTACAAAGACCGACTCTACAACAATATAATTTTTCAAAATTTCGAATCTTCATGGACCGACTGTACATTAATATAGATTTTAATATTTTGAATCTTCATGAACCGAATGTTCAAAGACCGACAATACAACAATATAATTTTTCAAGATTTCAAATCTTTAAAGACCAATTTAAATCTTTTTGACACAACATTATAAAGACTATTTTAATTTGTATGTATAAACTTTTATTGTATGAAATTATATTTGTTACATTGCGAAATATGGAATAATTTTTTATTCGTCAAAAATGACTGAACATTAAAGATAACGTGTTGAATTAAATATTTGTGTTTTAAACTCGTGGCGCTCTTTTTTTTGAGGATGGCTTCAAGTCTTTTGTTTTTTCTCTGTTGGTTTTCGTTTTCTTGTTGTTGTAGGCTCAATATCCTTTTCTAATGTTGCTGATAATTCTATAAATTTATTGTATTTTAACTTTTTATGTTTTTACAATTTACAGCATCAAAAAGTTTTTTAGTTTTATATAAATACTTTAAGGGCTATCCAAATATTACGTCACACTATTTTTGACCATTTTTTACCCTCTCTACCCCTTTTCACACTCTAGTATGTACATTAACGCCATTTTTTCTTATTCGTGTCACAAATTGCTTGATTCCCTATCCCCTCAGAATGTGATATGTGATTTTGTCTTTAAATTGTGTAATACAAAATTTCCAATCTTTTTAATACGTTTTGAAATACATATTGTGATTATATGAAACTCCTCAAAAACTTTTTGATAATGCGTAAAATTTGTTATATTTTTTCAACAAGCGTTTCAATATTAGAAATATTAAATATTTTATATTAAATTATCACAATTTTATCAATATTTAAATAGGTTTAACTTTTTATCGCATACCAGTAATTTCTAGCAAGTCTTTTAATTGATTTTGATGTTCACGTGTAACGACTGTTTTCAAAAACTCTTCTAAATCAATTCTATATTTAATAATCAAAATATATTAATTACATAAATAATAAGGTAAGTTATTATAATATTAATAATGATAATAATAATAATAATAATTATAATAATAATAACGTTAGTTATGTTAGTAATATTGTAATGATAGGATGTAAAAAAAATTCTTTAGTTTCCTTACTTTTTATCAATCAATTCTTTTTGACAATAAAGAATATGAGCGTCGTTGGTAATAGAAGTTTTCGACTCTCTACGTCTAATGGAATAACCTTTCAAAACTCTTAAGTACTGTAAATCTTCGGAAGCAATGTAGGCCGCCATTTTTGCTATTATCATTTATTAATAATGATTTGTTTGATTTGTAAGTTGTGATTTTATTTTAATTATTTTTTTATATTGTATAACATAACTTAAATTTTTTAATTTTGAATGCTTATAGTAATATACGAATAGAAATAATTATATCCCCACTGCTGTTTTGAATTTTCATTGGATATTTTAAAAAAAACTTTCGTACAATATGAAGTCTATACGAATACTAAATAATAATAAACAATACATTTAAATCACTGAAAAATTTTCGATTATTTCTTTTTGTCTATAAATAACTCAGAACTTACTTAAGAAAGCATACATATGCGGATGATTGCCTCCTAATTCGTCAAATGCGTTTTTATGAAATGATTCTACTGCATTGTTTGTTCTTTGGCTACAATCACAAACACATAGCACAGATGCTAGAGGAATCCACTGATTCTTGACATAATCGAGAAAGGTTTTAATATCTTTGAAATTTTGTATATCATCCTTGCATACTTTTTCTATCAATTCTAAACCTTCTGAAAATCGAGTATCAGGTGCTAACGCAAGGTTCATCACCATCCATAGTACAGTTTTTGGAGCCTTTTTACGAATTAAACCTAGTTTTTTCCAATACCTTAACAATGCCTAAATAATAATTTATAATTTTAGAATAATTTCATGTTATAAAATATTATTACAATTTTCAAAACAATAAAATTATCTCATTGTTTCTGATGGAAAGAGATTTGGTATTGTCAATGAAATCTTTCGTATCGAAAACTGAGTGTTAAATTTTCTTAAAACAATTAAATTAACAAATGGAAAAAATACATTTGTTACTTTTAAAAAAAAGTAATCAATAAAACTTTTTTTTAACCTAAAAAAATATAAAAATGATTTAAATGATTTATGTATGCAGAATAATTATAACCTGGCAGAAATGAAACCAGCATGCTTTAACTGTGATCTCCTTTGAAATGCTGTTGGTTATTGACTTTTGTATAGCGGTCTCGAAATCTGACATGATTTCTATCAAATTCTCTTTCAATTTGGGAGCTAGATTCAAAATCTTTTTCCATACGGCAGTGTATAACAGTAAGGTTTTTCGTGTCATTAAAACCCATAATGAACAAAAATTCTAAAAAATTTAAAAAATATTGATATTGACAGTATAATTATATTTAAATAAACATTTTATTAATTTGTTTAAAAATGTTGGTTTATTTTCATATATACTCACTGTACCCCGATTTTGGATATGAACAGTGTATAATTGATAAATTGACATTTGACGTGGAGAAACCTATAATTCATTATTACAATAATAAATGTAAATTTTAATTTTTTTAATATATAGAATATAATATTTACATTTAAGATATATTAATAAATTAATATATATTAAATAATATTATTTAGATTAATTGTTTTGTTATATATTTTTACCGAAAAAGTTGCATCGATATCAACTTTCTTTGTGTCACACGAATTTAATAACGATATCATTAAATCCGATCCAAATATTGCAGCTGCCGATCCATCGTTTACTTCGACAATGCCACGAAACAAGCTTTTAGTCGGTTCGAAATTATTTTTTAACACATTCTCAAAATCTGTCAAGTATTTTGGAATATTTGGTAATTTATTTTCACTTCTACGAAATATCGAGGATCTCATAGAATTAAAATTTAAGGATGATCCAATTTCCGGTGGTTGTCTATACATTAACGAATTCGAAAATAATGCGCTTTTAGAAAATCTTTCGAAAATTTACTGTACATTTTGATGCACGCTTTTTCTCATATATTATAAAACAAGAAATAATAATATAATATATTATATAATATATTATATATATTATAATATATATATATAATATATATATAATATATTATATAATATATTATTATTATTATATTATATTATTATAATATAATATATTATATATTATATATTTATAATATCAGAAAAAAATTTACTAAAATTGAAAAACTTACTTAGAAACAATGGAATTGAACAAGTTTTTTGGTTTCAAAGGAGTGTTTTCGCTTTCTTTTAAAATTACATTTTTTAATTTTGATACTTTTTGCGCATTTACATCTGCTTCGTGATTGTGACCTTTTGTAATTTCTACTAATTTGGATTCATTATTTTCCTTTGTTGTACCAAGACAACCGTAAGTATCATAATTGACACAGCGAAAGGTAGAAAATTCTGATGTATCGTCATTCTTTTTCGATTTTTTATGATAATAGAAACCACGATAAAAGTATTTTGATGAATTCTTGCGTTCACCTTCTTCCTTTTCCATTTGTCTTTAATAAAAATGATAATGATAATAATAAATTTTACAAAACATTTTGTAATTTGTAATTCAATAATTTTACCTTATTCTTATAGATACAAATTTAAAAAAATTGTATTTCTCTTCTTATTTTGTAATATATTCAAAAAAATACTGGTATTAATTTGATATAAGAATAAATAATGTGAAATGCTGATATTCACACTGTCTATTGTTTTATTATTTTCAATTTGTATATTACTATATTCACATATAAACACAAGTTGTCAAATCATCACGACAATTTGTAATATTATTATATTACAAATATACTGTGCGCTTTATTGGAAAATTGAGAAATGGAAGAGTTAAATGGTGAAAGAAAAGGGACTTCAAAATATTTCGCTGATGGGTTCTTTTATCATAAAATGAAAAGCAAGGAAGAATCAGACAAAAATAAAAAGGAGAAAATCATTTATCGATGTGCAACACGGGCAAGTACTTCCTGTACTGCTACAGCAGAAGAAGATGAAAGTACTAAGGAAGTAAAATTTTTCGGATGTCATATTGATAAACCAGTAGCTCATGGAGCAACTTTGTGTCGATTGAAAGAAAAAATGTTACTCATGGCTGAAAACACGTCTTTACCTTTGCGATCTATTTACGATCAAGTTCTCGAAGAGTGAGCAAAATTAATTATTAATTAAAGTTGAAATATGCAATAACAAATTTTAAATTTCGATTATTTTATTTTACTTATTATGAAATAATTTTATTTATAAAACTTTTTTTAATTTAATTTAATTAAAAATTTTAATTGAATTTAAATATTAATTAGTAATTTTCTTTACGCAGCCAATTAGAAGAAATAAAGAAATTGGTTAATTTTGAATCAGTCAAAACTATGATGAGCAGGAAAAGAAATATAAATGCGGGACAAATTCCGGAAACAATGGAAGGCTTTGCAGAGAGTTTAGAAAATAATATTTTTTTAAAAGGTTATTACCAAGAAACTATAACTGTGGGTGAATCGTGTGCAACGATATTTATGTCTAATCTAATGAGTACATTTTTGCGAGAAAACACATTTTCCACTGGATACATTGAAGACTCGATTCGTGTAAGATTTAAATTACTTAAATATTTAAAAAAACAAAGTAAATTATTAAATAAAATTTTAAAAAAATTAATATAAAATTTGAAATACAAATTATAATTAATTAAATCTTGCAGCTTCCTTCCATGAAACATGATTTTTCGCATCTTTACACTGTGAGTGTGAAAAAAAATGAGAGCAAAATAGATCCGGTGAATAAATTAAAAATTTAATATTTAATTCTTTGCCCTACTGATGCAGTTATTTAATTTTAATTTTATGTAAATTTAATTTCGAAGATTTATACGCCAATATGGATTTTGATGTCTGATAGGAGTTTACAATAATATGATGCGGTTTGGTGTAAAATTAGAGAATTAATACCATCGTTGAAAGTTGAGCAAATCAAATGCGGTTTTAAAGAAAACTCTGTAAATGCTATTCATCAAAATTTGAAAGAATCAATTCTTCAAGGAACTTGGCATCATTATATAATAGTAATAATTAATTGTTTAAAAAGTACTGCATTTTTCAGATTAATGCAAATTTGCAGGAAACTTACAACCCTTTTAATTACAAACTTGGATTAAAAATTTGAATTTGAATATCTTTGTTCAATGTTCAGATCGCATTATATTATTTATATTATTATTTAGTATTTTTTCTTTTTTTAATTTTTACTCATATAATAGGAATTATTGGCTGAGTGGAAATCACTGAAAATTCCAGATAATTGCATAAGTGTTTTGTGGATGGCATTAGGACTACCACTACTCCCATTATCACATTTTGAAGATGGAATTCATATTATTCAAACTGAGGCTGATAAAATAGCACTTCAAGAACCACTGGTGAATTCATATATGACATACTTAAGAACGAATTGGACACAATTGGCAGAATCAGTCAACTCTTTCCATTGCAACCAGAAAATGGATCCATTCGAAGCAACATTTTTTACTTATTTACTTTCATCAATAAGTCAAGTGTCAGACCCTGATATTTTAAAATTAATCAGTGAGTTGGTTTCATTATCTATTGAAACTTATAAATTTATTTCTTTGTGTTCTGAAGGTTAATGTTAAGTAACACTTTCAATTTAAAAAAACAGCTACGTAATCGACTTTTCACTTAACAGAATTTTCATTTGCTTAAACTTTATTTAGTTAAATTCTAATCTACCTAACATAATTCACGAATTAACTAATAATATATTTTTAAGTTTGAAAACTTAAAAAAATTTTATTTTTTACGTAAATTGACTTTATTGTTTCTCAGAAATAATTGTAAAATTAATGAAACGCGAAGATAAAAAATTAACTAAAGTGAAAGATGGAAAAAAATTAAAGCAAAGTAAAATGTTAAAATGGACCCTAGATTCGCATATAATCGAATGTCAAGAGAAACTGATAGTAAAACACTTGACATTAAAGAATTTTTTACTGAATGTCATAAATTGTAATCGGCGTCTGGCTTACCAAAATCTATTGTTTCAAATGAGTAAGCAACAATAACCGTCGTAAAGTTATAAATCAAATCAAAATTTTATTTTTATAATTATTTTTAAAATGTTTTAGGAATTGATAATGAAGAGAACAAGTTGTTATCTGATTCTTCATTGTTGAAAAAGAATGAAAATACACCAGGTTTTTACTCATTATATATAAATAATTTATAGAATTATTTTTAATTAGTACTAAATAATAAATATATTTATTGATAAACATATAAAAAATATAGAATCTGTGTCAGAAAATCTACGTGCTCTTTTACCTGGCGAAATCACAGAACCTTCAAATTCATGCTCAGAACAAAGAGATGGAAATTTAACATATCCACTACTAGGTAACGTACTAAATATAATTTTGCTGTGTAGTGTGTACAAACAAGTGTATTCTTACTAATTGTAATAAGTGAAATACTTATTACTTGTTAGGGGAGACTGGGGCGAAAAGTTAAATTGTGAAAACAGTTAAAATTCATTATCTTTCGAACGGAAATAGTTAGAGCATTTCAATTTTAATTATAGAAGAGTGTTATCACCCTAAATAAATGTGCGGAGTTATGTGACATTCTGCTAATTTTTGTGGTGTCCATATTTAAATTCTTTTTCACCCTACTTTTGAAAATTTTTTCCTAAAAGAAAATTTTAACTTTTAAGTATATTTTTTGCATTTATTCTCACCGCGATTTTTTTACTTCATTATTAGGGTCCCCTGAAGAGATACCTAAAGGTATTTGCTAAATATCTTTAGTCAGATTTTTTATATTTGTTGTTAAAGCAAGAAACGCACCCTGGGGCGAAATGATAAATCATTCACGTTCAATAAACTACTTGTTTACGTATAGTTTAACTTATCTACTACTTAACACCTATCAGAAAATAGTTTCAGTAGGCTAGAAATAGAATTTAGTTAAAGTTTATTTTATTTAGATAAAGTTAAAAGAAACAAAATTTTCAAAGAAGGACAAAACATGTATTTTATGCGAAAATATCAGAAACTTTTTTATTGAAAGTTGTAGGGGAAAAGTTGACCTACAATATTGATGTATAAATATTTGCATCTAAGCGGATTATATTGTCTAAAAATCATTTATGCAAAATTTAACTTTTCGCCCCAGTATCCCCTAATCAGTAAATTTAATCTATTAAATAAGTAGAATTTCACTGATTGTCTAAATCACTAACACTGTTATTACAATTTATAGATTTTGATGAGCTCATTGAAATAGGTGAGAAATACTATTAAGTAATTATTAAATTATTACATATAATTTTTTATGTTTATCTAATTAAAAAATACAATTATTTTATTAAAGGGCTTAATCAAGAATTGGAGAATGATTTATCTTCAAATATTGAAGAAGAGCAATTTCCTCCAGGTATTAAATAAAATTGCAATTATACAAATTAGATACAAGTAAAAGAAAAACAATAGAAATAATAAAACATGAAAAGTAACAATGTGAACGAATAACTTTAAAGTTGTACATTTGTACCCTTTTTGTGACGATTTTACACTAAAATAATTTATCTTTATAAAATATAATTCTTATGCACTTGTTATATAGATGCAGATAAAGGAGTCAGTATTGCAGTTGAGGAAGATCCTACCAAAAATGGTTTATTACAAAGTTCGAAATCAAAACCATCACCTACACTACCAACATTAAAAGAAAACAAGTTAGCAAACAAAACAAAAACACCCATTAAAACATCTACTAATGTTCAAAAGGCACCACAACGAATTTTGAGACCAAAAAGAGGACGACCAATTGATAAACCCAAAGCAAAAGACCCAGCAAAAGACAAATCTCAGCCGCCTATAAAAAAAGGACGCAGAGCGATTAATAATTAGTGTTGTGATTAATGATTAGTGTTAATGAGTTGATACAATAAATTAAATATTTTGCATTTAGAAAAAACCTTGTCTACATTATTAATTCTAAATCAAAATTATAAAAATAACACATTTAAACTAATAGTCATCAGTACCATAAACAAATAAAAGAATTAAAATTTCTAAAAATTACATTGTTGAAGAGTCGGTCTTTGTCCAGTCGGTCCATGAAGATTCAAAATATTGAAAAATTATATTGTTGTAGAGTCGATCTTTGTAGAGTCGGTCCATAAAGATTCAAAATTTTTAAAAATTATATTGTTTTATAGTCGGTCTTTGTACAGTCGGTCCACGAAGATTCGGAATTTTGAAAAATTATATTGTTGTATAGTCGGTCTTTGTACAGTCGGTACAGTCGAAATTTTGAAAAATTATATTGTTGTAGAGTCGGTCTTTGTAGAGTCGGTCCATGAAGATTCGAAATTTTTAAAAATTATATTGTTGTATAGTCGGTCTTTGTACAGTCGGTCCATGAAGATTCGAAATTTTGAAAAATTATATTGTTGTAGAGTCGGTCTTTGTACAGTCGGTCCATGAAGATTCGAAATTTTGATAAATTATATTGTTGTAGAGTCGGTCTTTGTACAGTCGGTCCATGAAGATTCGAAATTTTGAAAAACTATATTGTTGTAGAGTCGGTCTTTGTACAGTCGGTCCATGAAGATTCGAAATTTTGAAAAACTATATTGTTGTAGAGTCGGTCTTTGTACAGTCGGTCCATGATGATTCGAAATTTTGAAAAATTATATTGTTGTAGAGTCGGTCTTTGTACAGTCGGTCCACGAAGATTCGAAATTTTGAAAAACTATATTGTTGTAGAGTCGGTCTTTGTACAGTCGGTCCATGATGATTCGAAATTTTGAAAAATTATATTGTTGTAGAGTCGGTCTTTGTACAGTCGCTCCATGAAGATTCAAAATTTTGAAAAACTATATTGTTGTAGAGTCGGTCTTTGTACAGTCGGTCCATGAAGATTCGAAATTTTGATAAATTATATTGTTGTAGAGTCGGTCTTTGTACAGTCGGTCCATGAAAATTCGAAATTTTGAAAAATTATATTGTTGTATAGTCGGTCTTTGTACAGTCGGTCCATGAAGATTCGAAATTTTGAAAAATTATATTGTTGTATAGTCGGTCTTGGTACAGTCGGTCCATGAAGATTCGAAATTTTGAAAAATTATATTGTTGTAGAGTCGGTCTTTGTACAGTCGGTCCATGAAGATTCGAAATTTTGAAAAATTATATTGTTGTAGAGTCGGTCTTTGTACAGTCGGTCCACGAAGATTCGAAATTTTGAAAAATTATATTGTTGTAGAGTCGGTCTTTGTACAGTCGGTCCATAAAGATTCAAAAGATTGAAAATTTCTAAAGATTATATTGTTGTACAGTCGGTCTTTGTACAGTTGGTCCATGAAAATTTAAAATATTAAAAAATTATATAGGTGTAGAGTCGGTCTTTGTACAATCGGTCCATGAAGTGTCGGTCAGTTGAATATTTAATTTCTTTAGAGTTGAATACCTTGTAATCAGTTACTTTTTGTATAATCGGTCTATAGGTAATAATTATTATTAGCGAATTTTACTTTGTACAATAGGAAATGTACAGTCAGTCTTTGTTTAATTGGAAAAGGTGGAATTGAAGCCCTGCCTTTTATTCAAGTTTTAAAAAATAATTGAATTTTGGTGAAGAATTTTATTATTTATAAAAATAATTGAATTCCTGTAAAAAATTTATTACTTATGAAAATAATTGAATTATTTCAAAGAAAGTTATTAAAAAATTTGTTAATAATTGAATTATTTTAAAGAAAGTTATTAAAAAAATTTTTTTAAATAATTGATATTTTTCAAAAAATTTTATGAAATTTTGTATTTTAAAGAATTGAATTCCTGTGAAAATTTTATTACTTATGAAAATAATTGAATTATTTCAAAGAAATTTATTAAAAAATTTCTAAATAATTGAATACTTGTGAAATTTTGCCAAGAATTTTATTAAAATTTAAAAAAAAATTGAATTTCGAAGAAGAATTTTATTATTTTTAAAGATAATTGAAATTCTGCGAAGAATTTTTATAACTTTTGAAAATAATTGAATTTCAGGAATCAATTTATAACTTTTCCAAAATTCATTTTTTTTAGTATTTTTTACTAAAATTCTTCTATCAATGTAGTATTTATGAAAATTGTAAAAATTATTCATTAAATAATTTATAAGTCATAATTTTATGATTGTTCTTGAAAAATTAAGATATTTAAAAAGAAATTATTGTCAGAAATAGCAAAAATTGAATGTTTTGTATTAAAATTTGTATGGTAATTTCATAGTTTACAAGGCAAAAAAAAACATCAAAATTCAGAGTTTTCTCATAAATTTTAAAAATTAAATTTTTCCAGTACTTTTACTAAAAATCCCCGACTTTTCCCTGATTTTCCTGACCAATTTTACTTTCCCTGACTTTTCCCTGATTTTCCTGACTTCCCTGACCTGTGGCAACCCTGAATAAAAATAAAAATTCACCAGAAAATCTAAATAAACTGCGATAAAATATTTCGCGAATTCGTAATGAAAATATTAGTTTGAGATTTAAAAAAAAAATCATTTAGCGAGTGCGATTAGTCTTTTAGAAGATTTTAAGTACAATTTTCAGAGAATA